AGCTTTTTTTATTACCAACACCCAATAGAAAAATCCTCCCCAGCCAAAACCCCCAGTCCCAAAGCCCCTCCAGCCACAACAGTGTGAATTCCTCAGAGAGGTGCAGTCTCATCCTCTTGATCCTCCCACGTGGTTCTGGCGAGCTAAGAAAATGTTTGTCTCCCTGAGCTCGGCCTTCATAATTGCATTCCATCACAATAAGAAGCGTATAACAGCATAAGTAAACATGTATCTCAGCAGGAATAATACTGCACCAGTTTGGTATAGTAGTAATAATGTTTAGAAGTGAATAGGGTGGAAGGAAGTGCATCCATATGGCAGTGGGTCGTAAACGGTTCCCTCTTCCACCACATCCATACATCTTTTCCAGAGGATGAAGAGATGTTCCAGAAAGACACTCAGAGGAATTACAGGATGGAGACAAAGAGGAAACTTCATTGCACAAGTTACTTGCAGTGTTACACCAAATACAATACAGGTGTTCTGAAATGTAAGAATCACCAAATCGACAATAATGATGATGATGGTAATAAAAAAGAAGAAACCCACCATATTCTGGGACCTGTCCAGTTCCACGTTTTAGTAACAATCGCACTCTTCTGCCACCAGATTTGATGAGTTCTATTGCTCTGGCATGCGTCATATCTCTTGTACTTTCCCCATTGATTTCAATAATTTGATCTCCCACCTGCCGGATTAAAAAGGGGCCAAATTAATACTTGTAAACACAGCATTTCATACACACATATAAAAATTGTTAATTCACATATCATTAAGTTCAATGTATCTGGATTTTAGCCCTCCTGCTTAATGAATTAAAGATGTACAAAGTTCAGTCACATCTCAGAATTTTCTACCTACTGCTGCCTTCTCCTTCTCTTCTTTGTTATTATTATTATTATTTAGAGTTTTGTATCCAGTTTCTCTTCTAAGATCTCAAGGTGGATTTCCTTTCACTTTATCCCCACAAGAAGAATTCTGTAGGGAAGGTTGGTCTAAGAGAGAGAAACTGCCAAGTCACCCAGTGACCTTCCAGAACTGATGGTGGACTTGAATTTGGCTCTCCCTAGGCTTAGTCCAACACTTTGTCCAATGCACCCCACTGGCTTTCTTCAGCCAGAGTGAGTTCTGCTTGTGAGTTGCAAAGACATTTAGGATACAACGACCTCAAGAATGTAATTATGTGGTATTGTGTGTCAGTTGAGTTCCCAATTTAAAAGTGTGCCACAGTGCAGAGGTCAAGCATCAGTCTGTTTCTGAAAAATTAAGTTCAAACATATGACAAAAGAATGGTGAATAATCACTGGGCGTAATAGTTTAGAATCTCTCTAAGTCAGTGTTGTCCAAACTTGGCCACTTTAAGATGAGTGGACTTCAACTCCCAGAATTCCCCAGCCAGCCCTCGTCGCTGGGGGATTCTTGGAGTTTGAGTCCACTCATTCTTAAGAGGGTCAGTTTGGGGGACAAAGCCCCTAATTGATCTTTTTTTCCCCCCGCTC